TCTTGGAAGAGGCGTGACTGACATAGAACACCAAATCCATACATGAAACTACCAGGGTGGCTTGTGGTTTTGCTCGCCAAACTTATCTCAACAATCAAGGGAGTAGCTTGCTGCTTTATCAAAGACAATCACTGATTCTGTGACAATCCAGCCCACACTATGGTACCTCTCCAAATGGCACTTTTATGTGTTAGGCTGGAGGTTTCGGGACAAAAGATCCCCCCACCCCCATTTCCAGCCAGGAGTCAGTGCTTGCAGAAGTCTGCAAACTGGACAAAGAGATTCCTGCCAAAAGCCCATGCTTACAGAAGCCCATGCAAAACACAAAATCCTGGACAAAGTGGACACTTAGTTCCAGATTCCAAAGTAACCACTGGGCTCAGGACCTCAGGACACAGCTACTGGACCCCTAAGCCAGGCAATGCTCTAATACCTTATCAAACATGTCACTCTCTACCATCCTTCTTCTACCAAAATAATAATAATAATAATAATAATAATAATAATAATTACCAAAAAACCTAACCCAGTTCAGCCATGACTTCATGGCCCTCGCCTGAGAGCAATTAATCCCTAGATAAACCTGCCTGCCTCCCACTTTTTAATTCATCTCTACTGGATTTATTGTAGTGGCAGAGAAGACATTCACTATGGTCTAGCTCTTTCCTTCATTTATTTGATAATTTCTTGAGCTTAAGTTTATTCTTTGTATTCCTTTCATTTCTGTATCTGTGATAAACACCAAGACCACGAGCAACTTGGGAAGGAAAGGGTTTTAGTTTACACTTATGGACCACAGTCCATCATGGAGGAAAGTCAAGGTAGGAACCAGGGAAGAAGCTGCTTACTTGTTTGCTCTCCATGGCTTACTCAGTTTGCCTTCTTTTAGCACCCAAAACCACCTGCCAGGAGCAGGTACCTCCTGCAGTGATCTGGATCCTTCCACAGTAATTATTAATCAAGAAAACGCCCCCACGGGCGGGCTGTAGGGTTCCCTTGTGACAAAACTAGCACACCTTTGCAAAAATTACTTCCCTGAATTCTAGTAGTCAGTATTCTGGAAGGGCAGATTAAAACTACTCTGAGATTCTCTCACCCCAGTCAGAATGGCTGTCATAAAAAACATCAAATACAAATCTGGCATGGATGTACAGGAGAAACCCTTATACACGGTTAGTAGAAGTGTGAACTTTGAGAACCAGTCTGAGGTTCCTCTGTGAGCTAGAAGTACTATATGTCTTAGGGTATATGCTTCTGGGCACACACCCTAAGGAATCTGTAGCCGACACTTTTGTAAGACACTTCTGCTTCCATATTCATTGAATCTCTATTCACAATAGCTAGAAAATGGAATCAACTCAGATTTCCATTAACAAATAAGCAGATAAGGAAAATGTACAAATATATAATGTTTTGTATTTTATTCATCTATAAAGAAAAATGAAATTATAAAATTTTCAAGAAATGAATAGAACTGAAAATATAAATATATTGATCTAAGTAAACCCACTCAGAAAGAGAAGTATAGTGTGTTTTCTGTGATGTGCAGACCCGAGCTCTGACTCTTTAATGTATGTACGTCCCTCAGAGGCCCTTGGGATCTAAAGAAACTAAAAAGGGGACAGTTGAGGAGGGTTTGGTTTAAGACAAGACAGTACCACATTGAAGGAGAGTGGGATTCAGCAGATGGGCGTGTTTTCATTTCTCCAGGATCTCATGGACTCTTTAAAATGCAGGTACAATCAGTTCAAGTTCTGAAACTGAAGCTTCAATAAGCTGAATCTATAATAAATATACATAGACTTCTCCATTGTTTTTATTCTCTAGGCAAAACTGCATAACAATTAGCCACTTGCACTGGTTATAATGTCATTGTAAATAGGAGATGTAAGCACCTGTGAATTTGGGTCTCCACAGATGTCCTGGAACCAAAATAATCTTCAAGGAAACGAAGGACAGCTGTCTTCTTTCCCTTTTACTCTGGGCCTGGAGCTGAGCTCCCGTGAATCTCATCCTATGCAATGCTGCTGACCATCCAGGTTGTGTGGTCCCAGTTAACTGTAGGATTCACTATGGTAACGTTAAACATTCAAAATGAGAAATTGTTTTTAATATATAGTTGAAATATAGAAACTGGACAAATGGCAAAATGCAGGGTTCTTGGCTCTCCTTGGTCATATTAAATTATTTATCTGCAAAGTTTCAAGCCATTTTACCATAGCCCTCTCTTCACTCTAGGAAGTTGTGAGTTTGAGAGAATGTTGCTTTCCAATTTCACAATCTTAAGTATTAAATTTTCCAAGGTGTATTTCGTACATGTCTCTTTCACAGGTGCTTACATCTTTCGTAGCCTAAATTTCATATTTAATATTGGCCCTGTCCAGTGTATTGTAAACAGATATAGTAAATAAATACAAGAAGACCGTAAAATCTTGGCCATTTGGGGTCAGCTTTGTTCTCCAACTCAACTTTTTGCCTGCAAACACCATTTTATAGTTCAACTATGTCCTTGAACTTTCTCAGTTTACTTAATTTTTATTTTCCATGCCCATATTTCATTAGGCTTTATAATATGAGTTACTGTGGTTTTGTACTTCATATCACTGGGTAGACGGTTTAGACATTTTTTAGACTAAGGTTGTATGCTCTCATTTTCTACTTCCTTTGCACCTCCACATTGTGACCACATCTGATTTTCCATCTCCGTTTTGCTTCAGGTGCAAATCAGCTTACTGAGTGCGATAGGGTTTTGCTCAGGTTTGGGCCTTTCCAGTCAAACTGTTATTAGAGGCATATCTGAGTAATGTGTGCTCATGGACACAGAGCGCTGAAGACACATCTGGGACTCTGTCTCATTAGTAGGTTAGGGTCTGTTACACTTGTCTGCCAATACCTATCTGCCAATATTCTGAAGTCTTTCCAGTTCCTAAATGCTGATGTAGATAAATGCTTTTCTAATACAAATGAAATCACGTGGTATTGAATGCGGCCACGAAAATAAGCGCTGCTGTATGTGCCCCAGTTGGAAGAAGCCTAGAGAGACCGGGTTTGAATCAGGTAGGAGGGGAGGTGCAATTAGGTTCCAGTGTCTGAAACCGCACCATGAAAATGTCAAACCTCAGTCTTCCAGGAATCTCAGAATGTAAGGGATCTTGAGGGTCAAAATTAATTTTGAATCCTTGGTTTTCTATCAAACATGATTTTGTGTATTAATAAGTGCCAGAGAAAATAACAAAATAGGCCTTCCTCTTAAAGTTTTGGTAATGAGGACAATGCCAGGGTAATCTATGAGTCACCTAGACCTTGAGAGTCACACACAAGCCCCAGGGTAGCCTGGGTGCCCTTAAAAAGCAGGATTCAGAAGAGACCTGGAGTGATTCAATGACCCAGGCAAGACTTTTGTCAAACTGGCCATTATGGCTTTCCTTGTGGCACCTGAGATCAGAGAATTTGCATTTGGTGACCCACGGAATACTGTTAACTCCCCAGAGGGTCTGTATTGCCCTCCTTGAGTAAACCTGGATTATTATCTGAAATCTAAGTTATGCCAAGGCTGATTGTGAGCACTCCCCCGTCTCCACCATGTCCCTGAAAATTTAGGTGACTTGGAATTTCCTTGACTCTTAGTTTCATTCTGTCTCAAATTTTCCTGCAAAGAGGTTGCTTGAGTCATGTGTTTCTCCAGCTAGAGATTCCCTCTCTTTCTTCATGTCCTTCTCCCAAACCTTTTTTGTTATGTAGGCCCGCATCCCCTAAGGCATGGCCCTTACCTCTCAGGCCACAGAACTCTTCTGATCTGGCTCTGTCAGGTTTACACAATCCATCACTCAATCAGTTAACAGTTATGAATCCAGCTTATACTCCGTCCAGGATTTTGTAATAATTGTACCAAATAGTACCTTTTTTATGAATTGATATTATTTCCTCAAAGACACTATAAGCTTCTAGAAAATAGGACTCTATCTCCTTAAATCGTACATCTCGTCTGGCACCCTGCCAGTATCTAGGTGGCATTTAATGTCTCTTCTAAAATGATTCTTTACAAAAGTAGCCATTAGTTAACTTCCTTGTTGGGTACCTTCAAAATATGGCTCAGGATCCATGTATTTTCAGGTATATCTACTGTATGAAGGTATGTACATTGTATGGTATTTCATATTACTTATATTTCTAGATTTAAAGACTGAGGTTGCCCTGTGCCTAATGGGTGCCTGCGAGACAAACGTTGCTAGCTTGGTACAGAGACAGCTTTCCACACACACACAACTTAAGAAAACCCTAAAGCATTAATTTATTCTCTTAACTCTTTGAGATGCTAATGTATCTAGCCAATTCACAGCCACCAGCCACAATCCCTTCTGTTTAAGAGCTTTGTCTGATCAGCAAGCAAAAAAATAATTAAATCATCCAGGGTTCTTTTACTCTGAAAACCTGAGACGTCTGTGCTCTCTTTAAAGCAGAACACGCATTGAAACCAGGATGTCTGAGAAAATTGGCGGAGGTCTGAAGTAGCAAGTGAAAATGATGCCACTAATGGCGTTGATGATGGGTGGAAAGGAGATTACTAACAATTTAGTGTTCTGTTCTTAACTCCAGTCAAGCATTTACCAAAAGAATTAAACGGGTTGAACTTTGAAAATCTAAATCAAATCTTGAAAGCATGAGTATGTTTTGCAGGTGGAAAAGAAGGGAAAGAGGGAGAAAGTGCTTCAAAACTGTCTCCATTCCTGGTGCACCTCCTTAATGCAGTGCTTTTAAAGCGCTGCTCAGAGCTTTAAGAATATCTGCTGTGCTCCATCCTGGTCTGAAACTGTAAGATTTTCATAAGAAATGACTTTGTTTCATCCAGAGTCCCACAGTCCTCTGTCGTGCCAAGGAGCTTCAAGGAGAGTGGCCAACGTTCTGTAAAAGGGACCTTGGTCATTATGCACAAGACAAGAGATCAAGACTCATGTATCTGTCCTGTTCGTTTCACGCCATCCTTCCTGTCTTCCCTGCAGCTACCTCATCCTTGAACTCCCAACTGCAACAGCTCCAGCAGCTCCAGCTTCAGCAGCAGCAGCAGCAGCAGCAGCAACAACAACTGCCTCCTCCACCACCAACCAGCCAGCACCCACAGCCAGCCTCACAGTCTCAACAGCCACAATCCCAGCCCACCCCGCCCCACCAGCCACCACCTGCCTCACAGCAGCCCCAGGCTCCCCCAGCTCAGCTGCCGCAGGCTCCTCAGTCTCAACAGCACCAGTCCCACTCCCACCCCCAGAGCCAGAATCAGTCATCTCCAAACCAACAGAGCTCAAGTCCCCCTCAGAAACCCAGCGCATCTCCAGGACATAGCCTTCCGTCACCGCTCACGCCGCCCAACCCTCTACAGGTATGCTTTCCATCCTTCTCAGGAAGAGGGACTTCCCCATGGTGTGGTAAAGTCCCCAAAGGCGGAAGGCCAGCAAGACAGAGCATCCCGTTCCGCGGTGTCCAATTCAAATTGATCTCCTAGACTTAGGGAAGAGGAAGCAAATGGCAGGCAGCTGGGGATGCATGTGAACGAAACAAATAGAAGTCCATTGACGCTGCCCTCCGAAGGATAAATGTTATGTCTTTCTTTCGGTGCGAGGACAGCGGTGTAAGTGCACTTGTAGCCTGTAATAACTCCATTTTATGATACTTTTTGAAGGCTGCAAAGATAGCATCCAATTAAAATTATTACTAGCACAGTTTTGTAGCCCCGTGGAGAACTGCATCTCCTGTCCACGAGGCTTGCTGGTTATTTCTCTATATTATGAATACAACAATGTCTTCCCTTCACTACTTTCTGCTCTTTTGTTTTTATTTTTCTAAATACTCTCTGGGGTTAGGAGGGCAAAGAAATTTAGCCCCAGTCTTATGTCCCGGATTCCAGCCATTACTCCACAGACTAACAAGTACTCTAAATTTATGCCCAGGGCCTCAACAAATCTGCATCTTGATACAAGATAAAGCAGCTGTGAATTTACTTTATTACTGTGAAACTCAAGAAATAAAAAATCGATACTTTAGGTTAATCATAAATGCTTATCTTTAATCCACTATCATTGAAGAGGAATGAAGAGGAACATTCTGGAATAGATAACTTTAACTTCAGAAAGGCATTCTTTAGAACAGATTAGCTTCCAAACAGAATGACCAGGATGCCAAGGCAGGAGGTATCGGTTACCTGTTTTTCAACTTACATGAGACACTTTTTCCATGAGATTCCAAATGATTCAGGGTATTCCCAGGTGTGATGACAAGCAAGTGAACAGATTAGGCATTCACTTCAAGGCCAATTGGCCCTCCCACATTCTCTAGAGGTGAGCCTTGATCCAGTCTCCTCAATCCAAGGATGACACCAGCAATGGCATTTATGGGTGTTAAACAGGAAAACAAACAAAATCACACAGATCAGCACACAGCCTAAATGCAGGTAGATTAGGAATTTAGCAACTTGGAACTGATTTTATTTGATGACCCATTGCTTTGTCTCTTTGAACTTGCTCTCTTGGAGTGGTTCCAAGTTTATCCGGAAATCCAAACACTGACTGAGGAATGATTGTGATTTCCTGGTTAAAGGTGGCTAAAGGTGACTTTCACCACGAGCCCATTCCTAAGTCAGGGCTAAGGTGTATTTTTTTCACAAATATTACAAGGGCAAGACAACCTAACAATTTTGACATGATATTGAAATGAGCTCAAGCTAGAAGTGTCTTCCTGGAACCCCTGATGTCTGATGGCAGGGGAGACATAGCCAAATGCACACATGCCCTGTTCAAGCAGCCCCAGTGTCAGCCGCTGAAATGTGTCTCTGCCATCCCAGAGACAGTTTAATGCTTTTTAAGAACAGTTCGCTAGGCAGTGGTGGCACACACCCTTAATCCCAGCACTAGGGAGGCAGAGGCAGGCATATCCCTGTGAGTTCGAAACCAGCCTGGTCTACAATAGCTAATTCCAGAATAGGCTCCAAAGCTACAGAGAAACCCTGTCTCAAAAAACCAAAAAGAAAGACAAGAAAGAACAAACAGTTAAACACAGTTAAAGTAGACGGAACTAGACACCAAACGAATCGGTGACTTTTACACACTATAGCACACTACCTGATAGAAACAATGTGTTTTAATTTGACTCCCAGTGTTGGAGAGTTGCAGTCCATAATAGCAGAGAGGGCATGGGGAGCAACTCAGTCTGTAGCCACAGTGGATGGCAGAGCCTGTTCACAACTGTAAACCAAGAAGTACAGACCAAAGCAGGAACCAGGGACTACCTCTAAATGACTCATCCCCAGGGATGGATTTCTGCCAGCCACGCCCACCTAGAGGTTCTACCGCCTCCCCCAAATAACCCCACCAGCTAGGAGTAAGTTTCAAACAAGAACCTGTGGGAGATGTTCAGCTCCAAACAGCGACAAGATGCAATGAAACATTTCTACACTGCTCCCACCAAGACACAAACTAGGTTACATCACCAAAGAAAAAGTCATCTTGCCTTAAGAGAAGGTATGACTTACACCTGCCCAAATTGCTGATTATAAGCCAGAGTTATTTCCCATTTAGTAAAAGCCAGCTTGGAGCTGTGTAGTCGCCAATCTTCGCAGAACACTGACAACCTCCGAGGAGCTCTAAGTCGGCTCCCAGCTGCCGTGGAAATCCCGGGCTGTTTAGTTTTGCTTCACTTTTCAGCCAAGGGATGCTCAAAGTCACGTTTTTGTCCCCTTAGAGTCTTTATAAAATATTCTCATTTTCTTGTCAGGATTTTTGCTTCTAAACTTAATCAATATATTTATGATATTTAAGTGGACCTGAATGAGTGACCACTAAAGAAATGCCTTGTTGAAAGTTTAAAACCATTTCTGAGTAGATACAGAGTTAAACTTGAAGAAGTCTCTGTCAACAAGTCGTAAAAATCTGATGTCAGGCATGTGTAAAGAAAGGGAGAGTTTCATAGTCTAAACTTTTTCCCCCAACACTCGCTGTAGGGCTTTTGAGTTTGTGGATCATGAAAGGTCTGAACTCTTAAAAAAGAAAACTACTCTAAAGTCACCATGCAGACATTTAATTCTCAGAGGTAATGATCTTTATGAAATAGAATAAAATGTATGATCTGAAAATTATTCAGGGAATATAAAGATCAACTAAATTTGTATGTGACAAGTTGCATTTTTATGATTCTTTGTTTTGGTCTGGACTTTTTCTTCCTACATTATGCAAACTCCATCTGAGAAAGAGCATTTTAAAATGTGCAGCATAAATTATGAGGGAAAGCCAGGGCATCAGAAAACCCTTTTTATTTTCTATTTGGTTCAAAACCATTTTGAAGTATAACAATTATTTCTCAAGCTGTATAGATACTGTGATGTTTTCAGAAAAAAAAAAGTCCTAAATGAACGCAGGTTGTGAAGACAAATTGGGGTGAGGTCATTTTTCAAGATGGAGAGAACAAAGTTAGCAATGCTGGCAGGTAGCAACACCTAGACAAAAAGTCTCCAAATAGCTCCTGTCAGGGTTTTCTATAAAATTGCAGTATAATTTGATTTCACTTTTTCACCCAATTCCATGAAATGGATTGCATTTACAAAACCAGATTGTTGTTTCGAGGCAGACAAGACTCTAAAGCGTTACCCCTCCAGAAAAGCCTGGGTAAGAGAGGAACTTTGTTCATTCGCTTTGATCATCTGGGGCCAGGGGAGGGTGGGTCTAGAGTGGACAGCAGAAGCTGAGCCCTACAGGGCTGTGTTCTCCACGGAGACTCAGAGCCTGCTCACTCGGGACTTCCTTCGGTCCCAGGAGGCTGAGGAGAGAGGTTCTAAATCTAATGAGAATTCACCAAGGCCAGTTGGACTGGGACTGAATGAGGACGTGATCCAACCAGATTCTCTGAATGTGGCTGGCCCCGAGTCTTTCTGAAAAGCCATTGACAATGACACTGGGACTTGTTTCCTCTGCATATACTGGAGTTTGGGGATCCAGTCTGTTTGGATACTCACTTTCCTGGACCTGGAGGGAGGGAAGAGGAACTTGAACTTCCCACAGGGCAGGAAACCCTGACTGCTCTTAGGGATGGAGAGGGGGGAGGAGGAGAAGGAGTGGGGGGAGTGGGAGGGTGTTGGGAGGAGGGGCGGAAATGGAAACTTTTATAATTTAATAAAATTACTTTCTCATAAAAAAAATAAAATAAAATAAAAATGAACTAGAAAAAAAAAAGAGTGAAGGGGAATCGCACAGATCCGCAGGAGCCAGGCAGTCAGGGCTCACAGGCAGGTGAGGACAAAATGCAAAATGAGCTTATGTAGAGTTCATGGGACAGAGAAGTGCAGCGAGAACTGAAGTTAGTCCTTGGATTCAGGGGTGCTTCTCAGTCCATGCCCCTTCATCTTGCTGTAGCTCATCTGCATCAGAATAGGCAATGCTCTGAAACAATGACATAGAAGAAAACTTTTAAATAGGGAGGACTTCTCCACATTGGTCAGTGTGGCAGAGGGCCTGTGAGCATGAGAGTGGTGAGGCCCTTCCTGTCCAGCCCTTGGAGACTGCTTTTCCTGGGATGCCCTTCAGAATTTTCCATGCACTGGACACATCACAGGAATTTTGCTGATGTCCTAATGAGCAGAAAGGTCTGACAGGGACTGACTGGAGCCCACTGTGGCATATTGGAAGGTTGGTGGCTTCTTTCTCGTCCAAAGTCACTCGTGGCTTTTGTCAGATGATTCTAACTCCCTGAATGTCGTTTTCCTCATCTGCCATTTCTAAGAATCTTTTCCGGCCTCTGCACGCATGATCCAAATGTTGGTAGAAGTCTAAGACTTTAGTGGCTGCTGGAAACCTTATTTTCAGATTTTTCCGCGTATTTTTCAAGGTCAGGTGAATTTCTTCCCACTCAGCTGGATGGCAAAGTGGAAGAGAGTGGAAGACACACGTAAGTGGGATAATGACAGCAGAAGAAGGCTTTAGCTTAGCCAGAGAGCACAAATTAAACTCCAGTTTGTATCCTCAGAGAGTCGCGGCTCTGCGCTCTCAGCCCAGATTGTTTTGCCACACCTGTGCATTAGAGAAGCTTAAGGAACGAAACGCTGCATTTAACCCCGGCCTTCTGCGAACCATCTTGCATGGCAGGAAGCAGGATAATCTTTCCCTTTTCTTGTTGTCCTGCACATTTTAATAAACCACAGAGGGGCAGAGAGGGAGATGAAACAGGAGCAAAAAAAAAAAAAGAAAAGAAAAGAAAATCTATGCTTGTATGAGGGGCCTGATCACCTCCTCAGGCTCAGAAGACGGTATACATGTGAGCATTTGCTGATGTGCAGGGCTAGTAACAGCTCAGTAAAGAAGCTTGATCAGAATCCCACCTTGGTTACACAGGGGCATG